TTTTTTTTTTTTGTGAGTTAGGGTTTTGTTCTACAGTTTTCTCCAGCTCTGTCTGGGACCCTCTGTTGTGATCCCTGTCAGAGCAGTCAGTGCTAGCAGCTGGGCACTATCTAGTTGTGCTGGACTCAGTCTGGTGGAGACTGTGGTAGTTGTGGTCTGTTAGTCCTTTGGACTAATCTTGCCCCTGTGTTTTGGTTTTCTTCATTCTCCCTTGCTCTAGATGGGGTGGGACCAGTGGAGTACCTTAGATGGCACAAGCTTTTAAGACCCCAGACGCTACTCACCAAAGTAGAATGTAGAACATTTTCTTTATAAACGATGTTATGCCGGTTGAGCTAGATGTTCCCTGAGACCATGGTCCCCACAGCACTCAGCCCAGTAATTTGGTCCCTCAGAGAGTTTGGATGTGTCTGTGGAGCTTCCATGACCTTTCCTTGGACAAGCTGTGCTGGCTTCCCCAGTATTGTGTACTGTCTTACCTTCACCAAAGTTACCACTTAACTATTGTCTGTTTAGTGTTTTTCCCTCCTCTCCCCCTCCTCCCTTGTAACCATCAAAGATTCTTTTTTTTTTTTTTTTAATTGTACTCAAAGATTCTTTTTGTTTGTAAACCTTTTCATGAGTTTTTATAGTAGTGGTCTCAGACAGTATTTGTCCTTTTTTGATTGTTATTTCACTCAGCATAATGCTCTCCAGATTCATCCATGTTGTGAGATGGTTTGCAGATCCATCATTGTTCTTTATCCTTACGTAGTACTGCATTGTGCATATGTACCATAGTTTATGCATTCATGGGCATCTAGGTTGTTTCCATCTTTTTACTATTGTGAACAGTGCGGCAATGAACATGGGTGTGCATATGTCTATTCGTGTGATGCCTCTTATTTCTCTAGGATATATTTGTAGGAGTTGGATTGCTGGATCATATGGTATTTCTGTTTCTAGCTTTTTAAGGAAGTGCCATATCGTTTTCCAAAATGGTTGTACCATTTAGCATACCCACCAGCAGTGCATAAGAGTTCCAGTCTCCCCGCCGCCTCTCCAGTGTTCATTTTTTTTTTTTTTTTTTTTGATTTGTGCCAGTAATCAGCCGAAAATTTCTTAATTAAAAATGTAAGATCCTTAAAATCAGGGAAAAGCTGCCTTGGTTAAAGGGGTTTTAATAGCAAGAAAAAAATCAGCAGAACCCTTTTCTAAGATGAACTCTTATGAGGAGCTCCCCTGTATCATGAGGAGCTCCACTATCTTGAGGTGGCTGTGGGGAGTGAGAAGGGAAGGAGGGAGGCTGTGGGAGAGGAAGCAGGTGGGCTCCAGGTCTCCCCATTCCTGTCATCCAGAACCGCTCCACAGAAGTGGCTTAACTTCTGTGTTTACAGCAGTGAGTGAGATGAGGATGGGGTAAAAGTGAACGCTGATTTATAATCAGCCTCTGATTTTTAATTGAACTTAGACATTTGGGAAGCTAGAAGCTTCTTGGTAGAATCCTGATGTTTGAAAACTCATGCTCAGTTTTTTCTGTGAAGTAAATTTACCCTAAAAATGAGGAAACGACGTAGAACTATTGTTGATTCCCTTAGTGTGTTACATACATGTTTTGGTGCAGCGACTTTTCATCTGGACGTTTTTATTTTTATTTAACATCTTTATTAGTTTTCTAATTTAAAAATTAGCAATGCTTATATATTTTTGCATTGTTTGAATATTTTATTATAAAGTAGAACTTTAATGGCTCTGGGAACCACCTCCCAATGATAATCAGTATTAATAGTTTGGAATTCATTCTTCCAGATTTTTTTCAATGCGTAAACTAACAGATTTTATTCCTTTGTCTAAAAGATGGATCCTACTATGATGCTGTTTTGTGATTTGCTTTGTTCACTTGATAATGTGTCTTTCTGGGTTAGCATATATAGTAGGTTCCCTCCATTCCTTTAATGGATTTATATTATTCCATTATATCATAATTTTCTCATCTGTTGGCAAACATTTAAATTGCAGTAAACTTCCTTTATACATGTATCTTTGCTTACTGGACAAATGTTTCTGTAGGATAAATTCCCAGTAGAATTTCTAGGTCAAAAGTTATGACAATTTTATATCTTAATGAATATTTGGAGGCTCAATAAAATGTTATATCAATGTTCTGGTTTTTGTAGGAAATAAACTTAGCTCTGAATCTTTCAGAAGTTTTAGTTAGATGATGTGTCATCAATTTACACAATTTTTTCTAATATAAGCTTTCTAGTAACGTAAAAATCTTTACAATGACAGCTTTGGAACTTTTTGTTATTACAGTGATGGAATGGGGGGAAGATGTCGAAGCAATTTCAAAAGATGAAGCAGTGATGCTGGTGAATCATCAGGCAACGGGCGATGTGTGCACGCTGATGATGTGCCTACAGGACAAGGGACTGGTGAGCTCCCTGAAGGTGGCGAGTGGGCAGCCGGGAGGGAGAGAAAGCTTTTCTCCTGTGCTGCGTGTCATAAAGTTACTTGGTTCCTTTGATTTTTTTTTTTTTTCCTTAAAAAAGAATCATTTCAAATCTCTTAGTACAGTTTGGATCATATGTTTAGGTTTTAATGTGTATACTTTTCCTGAAAATCTAGAAAATATTAAAAAAAAACAATAATTCTAAGTGGGAAATTTAGACCCTTAAAAAAAATTAACTGGGATGAAAACAAAGTTAATATGATTCGGATTGGGGGCTGCCTCGAGGTGAAGTGGTAGATTTGGCGGTTTCAGAACTACAGACACAAAAAGCGTTGCTAGGATAGGAGAGGGAAACTCGTGACGTAGGTGATGTTGGGGGTCTTCAGCCGGAAGAGAACAAGGGAGATCGGAAGGGAAGGCATTAGGCTCGTCTTAGCCAGTGTTACTGTGTTTGAACTGTTAATTTTACATTGCTTATATTGATAACTAAAATGTATCTATAAATTGGGTGGATTTAAAATAATTTCAGTCTTTAGCATTATTGCCACAGGAAAAGTTAAATAGGTTATATTCATAGCAAAACAATAGGAAGTGTATAAAATTAGTGGAGTTAATATTTGACCTATTAGTAAAGATACAAATCCACAGATGTTTGCTAAGTGCTTAATGTTCATGGTTAGTGATGTTAGATGCATAAGCCACCACTATTCTCTAAGGAGCTTGGTGGGAGAGTGTCACAAATAATGCTTTACTGCAAAGTGAGAGAGATTCAGTGGAGAGTGAGCTTACCATGGACTTGATCAATATAGAAAACTTTGTGGAAGGGGAGAGGACATAAACTTGGCCTTGAAGGATGCTTAGAATTGAGTTAGGCAGAGTGGTGAAGCAAGGGCCTTTTTCCTTCGTGGAACAATCTTTGCAAAATCACAGAGGCAGGAAGGAGCCTGTTGTGTTTACGCCCCACAGATTTCTACTCAGTAGGTCAGTGTGGGGTCAGAAAATGAAGTGAGATTGAAGGAAAATAGGTTTGTTTTGATTATTGAAGAATCTGTTTTTCTTGTTTATGTGAAAAGCAGAGAGGCATGATCTTGCTGGAATATGGAAGAAATTCAGTCCTTTTTTATGTTCAGAATCTTGAATTGTTAAAAGAACATCACCGTGTAGATATGTTTGCAGTTTATAATATTTATTACCTAAATCCATGATGTTAAAAATTTTATAAAAAAGTTTATTTGACTTTCTATCAACCAGAACCCCCAATTAGCTAGCACTTATTCTTGATACAATTACATTTATAGTGATTGTTCTGAGGGCTTACAATGTAGTTAAGTGTTTTTTGAATATAAAAAAATGGTTAAATTGTGAGTATAAATATGTCTAACTGTATTCTAACTCCGTTTGGGCATAGATGGTAACTGCATTAAACAGCATATTAGGTTATTTGAAGTTCACCAATCACATAGACAGAAGGAAGATTGGTTTATTCCCTTTTGTAAAGTGACTTGAGTTACTTTGTGTACAATTCATTTTTCTGTCCTGAAAAATTCTGTTTTTATTTTCAGATTAGTTAATGCTGAACATTTTTTATAATGCTTTGATATTACTGAATAATCTAAAATCTGAAGAATTTACTGTCTTCTGTCATAAAGGAATAATTGAGAATACAAGGGTGCATTGTAGTCTCTGCCACCTCTCTAATAAATACAGGGCAGTATAAATTCATAGTTACAAGTAGGAATGTTCATTAGATTTACTGTATACTCCATGGGTACGTTCAAAGAAGGAAGGCTAATGCTAAATTTTGGGGCCTTAAAAAAAAAAATTAGTTTGATGGTGATGTGATTGTAACATTGCTTACTGAATTCAGGAGACTTCTTGGAGCACATGTCAGTGTTTTTCAGTGGGAGCGTTGTTGGCATTTTGGTAGGACAACACCATTGCTCTGAATATCCTGGCCTCTGCTGGATGTGTTACATCCCTGGCTACTACCTACTAAATGCTAGTAATACTCTTAGTCATTGTGACAGTCAAAAATGCCCTTACAAGTTTACAAACTTAACCCAGTGGAGAACCATCGACCTTACACCAGTTTCAAAAGGACATAAAGAGTGGAGCCCTTGTGGTGCAGTGGTTAAGAGCTTGGCTACTAACCAAAAGGTCAGCAGTTCGAATCCACCAGCTGCTCCTTAAAAACCGTAGGGGCAGGTCTGCTCTGTCTTGTAAGGTTGCTATGAGTCGGAATCGACTCGATCGCAATGGGTGGGTTAAAGTATGAAGTTTTACTTCTGTCAAGAGAACTTCGTTAGATGTTTAATAAACATTTGTTGGCTTGTACACATTTCCCTTGAAATAAGTTGGAGAGGGCACAATTATCCATATAAATTTCAGATATGAGAATTATCCATAAAAATCTCAAGAAGATAGATAGGCTATGGCTATTATATTTGTTTTAGATGACTCTTCTAATTGAAGAGATAAATCCGCATAAGTGTATCTTAAGGTTAACATAAAAGCCGATTATTTTAGTGTTGGTATTTTAAAAACAAAATCCAATAAGTGGCAGCTAAACTTCACACTGTGTATAAAGCTCTAAAATGTTGTATAGGTTGGAATTCACTTAATTTTTGTTTGTTTTCTAGGACATTTTTCAGCAAAGTCTATTAAGTTCAAATCATTTTATTTAAACAAAGTAGTCGTGATTGCAAAGCAAAACAAGATTGAAAAATGAGATAGTGGTAGTTATTTTATCCTGTGTAAATTGACTTGGGAAATCATCAGTTCTTCACTGGGCATATATCTTCATTTGTAAAAGTGATTTAAAATAGTAAAGCTGATGACATAGGCGTTGTGTAACTGAACTATTTACTTAAAAATTCAGGCAGAAGCTTTAATATTCTCTCTGGGCTTTTATAATACTTTTGTAAAAGCAGCCTATGGGTATCAACACTTAGCTTTTTCCTTATGTATAAGTTCACATATTTTAATTCTTAGAGATGGTGTTTACATTTATTCTCACCATAGGAAAACAAAGTAGACCTCTGTTGCATTCTTCATTGAGGTTATAGCTTTCTCTTTGTTTAGGGCTTGGAATAAGGAATGCTGTTTCCTCAGCAGGGAAGAACAATTAACCAATCCGTTAAGTAGACCCCAGTTTACACTTACTTTTAGTTCTAAAATTTGCTTGAAATAACGTTTTATCTGCTCTCGTTACGGGTATTAACACTTACTAGGAATGGATAATATGTTTGCATTTAACAATTGAGACTCTATGAGTATTTTTACGCTGGCAAAGAATATGGCCTTGCATAAACTAACAAATATTCTTTATAATAGGATTTAAAAATGATTTATTAAGTGAATAGCTAAATATTCTTTTATTTTAGACATTAGCTTTTGATATCTTAACTATTGAGGTTAAATATTGGATTGTAAATATAAAGTTTTAGTAGTTATTAAGTAAACGTGGTTATATTGTTTCAAAATAATTTTACAAGTTCTGTTAGAGTTATTGGAGCCCTGGTGGCCCAGTGGTTAAGAGCTATAGCTGCAAACCAAGAGGTTGGCAGTTTGAATCTACCTGCTGCTCCTTGGAAACCCTGTGGGGCAGTTCTTCTCTGCCCTATAGAGTCGCTATGAGTCACAGTTGACTCAACAGCAACGAAACTGTTTTTTGTTTCTTTTTTTGTTAGAATTACCAGAAAGTTTGTTCAAATTTAGAACAAACTTGAAATCATTGAGTCTAAATCTAAGAAGTTAATTCTGCTTCGTAAATACAGTGGTGCACCTGTAACTTGGGGTTCTGGGACTTGGAATCGAGACCTGTAACTTCTCAGTTAGACTCCGTTAGTAACTGTGCTTTGTTTGTAGAAATAGCATCAGGTTTAAAATATTTAGATTAATTAAGAACATGCTTGTGATTATATTTAAAATATGGAGCCTTGGCTAGACTGTAGTCAAGCTTCTTCTAGCCAATATTTAATTATTTCTTGCTTTGAACTATTGTAGGTTGTTGCTCAGATGATGTGGTTGATGGATCATATTTTTAAGTACACAAACTTTGGAATTATTTCTCTAATTCATGGAGACTTCTTTATAAGACAGGTAAGTGATGAGCACTTTATTGTTTTTTGTGAGGTGCTAGCCTTGTCAAACACTGATGTCGATTGTAAAACGAGATGTAACGGAACCGCAGATAATGGGAGAGTCAGTTCTAGTTTCTCGAGGGAACGTGTCCTCTGAGTCTTTGTTCCCGAAACATTTCTTTCAGTCTGAATTTGAGTATACGTAAGTACTGAAAGGCTGGTAATGCAGACATTTCAACCTCCACTCTCCTCCTTCATCAGGAGAGCATACCTCAGTTTAGTAAATATTTAGCAAGCATCTGTCGCATACCCCAGCTATTCTGCTTCTTAGCTATGTGAATTGGACAAGTAAATGATACTCAGTTTTCTTATTTTCCAAATGAGAATAGTAGTACCCTCCCTTCTTGGGTCATCGTGGGGGTTAAATGAAGTAATACATGTATAAAGTACTTAGAACAGTACCTGCTACCTTCTTCATCATTTGTATCTTGATCACCACCACCATCATCTATATTATCACTGTTATTTTCATTTATTAACCATTCTGGGCTGCTAACCAAAAGGTCGGCAGTTTGAATCCACCAACTGCTCCTTGGAAACCCTATGGGGCAGTTCTGCTCTGTCCTATAGGGTCGCTATGAGTCAGAATTGACTTGGTGGCAGTGGGTTTGGGTTTTTTTTGGGTTGTATGATTCAGAGGATAGCTAAATTAACAGGCTGTTCTCCATTCTTGGGAGTCTGTATTCCCCTAAAACCCAAAACCAAACCCGTTGCTGTCGAGTCGATTCAGACTCATAGTGACCCTACAGGACAGAGTAGCACTGCCCCACAGAGTTTCCAAGGAGCGTCTGTTGGATTCGAACTGCCAAGCTTTTGGATAGCAGCTGTAGCTCTTAACCGCTATGCCACCAGGATTTCCATATTCTAGTAGGGAAATTATTACATAAAAAGAGGAAATGTTTTGCACATCAGATTTCTGTGAATCCAGAAGAACTTTAGAGGAAAAGGTGATTGATGCAGGCATAATTTTAAAGAATGGGTATAGGTTTGATAGAGGATGGTGGGCTAGGAAGAAGTCCCAAGCATTAGGAATAAGAATTAGGTGTAAGAAAAAGAATCATAAAAAAAAAAAACGTTGCTGTGGAGTCTGTTGACTCATAGCGACCCTATAGGACAGAGTAGAACTTCCCTGTAGGGTTTCCAAGGAGCACCTGGTGAATTCAAACTGCTGGCGTTTGGATCAGCAGCCGAACTCTTAACTACTATGCCACCAGGGTTTTTCTATCAAGTTGGCACTACATTACAGTATTTCCCTGATATGCTGCTAATATCACACAATTTATTTTCTCAAAAGGGGATAACTTAAATATGGTAGGCAAGGCTTTTTAATGTATGGCAGTGCCACACTTATATGATGTTCATATATTTAGCAACTTCAACCTGAGTTGTACAGTGCATATAATAAGCACTTAATGCATAACTGGTGAATTGAATTAAGCGTCTTGTAAGAACCACAAATTCAGAAATAAGCTGGAAATAAGCAGAAAAAGTTCTGAACTCTGAAAATAGCTTCCACAAAACACATACACTTCAGTGTTATGTACAGAACATATTGACCTAATTTGTTCACGTGCCATAAGTTATCTAGTTTCATCTGGAAACACTCCTTGTTGTGCCCAAGATAGTCTGAGCAAGAGGTGAATAACAGTGATGGTGGAAGGAGGCACTTGGACTGTAGGAGGGAGTAGCAATGGGAATTGGCCACAAGGAAAAGACAAAGTAGACAGTAATCGGAACAACTTAACAAACAGCCTAGCCTGATATCTCAGAGCATCTCTGGTGAGTAAGACAACAGAACCACCAGCTGGAAAGCCCGTAAAGATTTCAGCCTTGGAAACCCTATGGGGCAGCTCTACTCTGGCCTGTAGGGTTGATGTGAGTTGTAATCGACTCGGTGGCACATAACCACAATACCAGTAGTCTAGGGGTATTCAGTGGAAAAACTAGCTGAGCGCTTCCATCATGAGAGTCTGAGGAAATTATTGAATTTGTAGTGTAGTTCAAGGGAACCTGTGAGAGCTGGAACTTGATGGGACTGCCTTGTTTTTCCAGGTCTCGCAAATATTCCACCTTTGACCGGGTGCAGTCTTATCACTTTGTTATCTCTCTCTATTAGTGGAAAATATTTGAGTTTTCCTTCTCTGACACGTTTCTACCTTACACAGGTTCGGGCTTTCACAGGTTTTACTGTATAACAGTTGACCGTAATGGTGATCCTTAGACATCAAAGAAGAGGCTAAATTATACTAAACTATCAGTATGCTTTGAGGGGGTGAAAGGAGAAAATTATGTACCCCAAAACATTTTCCTTTTTATTACAAAGTAGAGTTTTGCATTCTTAAAGACTGCATTTGAAAGTATCTGGGAGAGTTGCAAATTCATTTCTAAAGAGTGAGGCTTTTTCCCCTGATAGATTAATAATAAAAATTTGTGCCAGTTGCAGGGGGGATGGAGAAAAATTATTAAAGTAAAAAAAAAAAATCTTGGGACTTTACTTCTAATAGACCATTTTGATGAGATATTTCTAAGAATAGTAAAAATATTTTACATGTAGTCTTGGGAACTTAATAGCTAACTTAATCATAATCAGTGCAGTTCAGTAAACCAGTTAAGAAAATGCCTAACTTGTGTTGTAGAGGAAAAACATCACAAAGTTTAGTAAAGCAGAAAGAAAGTTTTGTTCGGCATGTATGCAAAAGGACAAAAGCGGGAAGCGGCCAACCATGCAGCCAGAGCCATGTCTGCCCGAGTCTAAGGAAATATCACAGAACAGACAAAAGTGGGAAAATGGACAAGCATGTTGCTTGAGCCATGTCTCCCCGAGTCCAAAGAATATTACAGAACAGGCAAGAATGGGAAAACGGACAAGCATGCTGCCATAGCCATGTTTGCCCGAGTCCAAAGACCATTACAGAATCATCAGTATATATCAGCATTACAAATGGGCAAAACCATTGAGGGCTTAGCCTTTTCAGATTGGCTAGAAACTGTGATCCTATATTTTGAATTGTCTTTCTTAACAATCGTTGGTACAGGTTTCAGTAACGTCAGGAGGGTCTTCATTGGTCCAACAAATTTCTATTCACTAAATGCTAATAGAAAAAGAGTAGAAAGTTTTTTGTGTTCTGTTTGCTTGGCTTTATGTGAAAGTTTCCCTAAAAGATATTTTCCAAGAGCATCTTAGCTATTGTCTTTATACCTCAGGGCCCAGTTGATGTGTCCTTGTGAGTCCTTGTGAGCCCCTGTGAGTCCAGCTCCAGCTGGGTCACATTCTCTATGCTCAAGGAGAGGGAATAAATGATTCCAATATTATTTTCTAAATCACTTGTTTTGCATTTGGAATATATTTAATCTGAAGACTGAAAGCATACTGATTATTTTTGGGAGCTTTTATAGTTGTGTTGGCTGGAAAATTATTAGCAAATTGATCATACTGAAAAAAGAACCCATGTGAAAACACAGTTGTGGGTTTGGGTTCTTCCTACACATTTTCCTGGATTCCTCTTTTCAGTGTCCAAGTCAGCTTCTTTCTCCTCTTCGTCACAGCTAAGATCCCGTTCATCGCAACATTCCGTTAGCGTCCCCTTCAGATCTTTTCTGAATTAGCACTTTATGCCAGTGCATCATGGTCAAATCTCATCACATTCACTTGTCCAGACCGTTCTTATTTGGTCTCTGCTGTCCTCTCCAGTTCCATCTTCCTGTCATCGTCTTCCTTGTTCATCATGTTGCAGCTACACCAGCCTTTAACACGTGAAGCTAATTGCCACCTGAGGTCATTGGCCCTTTGGTTCTCAGTGCCTGGGATGCTCTGCCTCTCATCTTCACACAGCTTATTCCCTCGCATGACCCCCTCCGTGCTCTAATGCCACCTCCTCAGAGCAGCTGTCCCTGGCCTTCCTGACCCTCTCTATTCTCTTACTCTTTTCTTCCTGACACACATCTCTAATTGAGTTTACACTCCTTATTTACTATCTTTGTCACTAGAATATGAGCTCCAAGAGGGTCTCTTATGTATCCCTGTATCTCCAGTGCCTGGCAGTTAGTAGGCACTCAGTAAGTTGTTACTGAGTTGACGAATGAATGGATTTTCAGGAGCAATCAGAGCAATTTGCTTTTCCTTCAGAAAGAAAAGAGGTTTTGTAAGTGCTAGCAACTTCTGTATTTTTTGCTGTTATGGTCAAAAGGGGAACCAAGTGGGAAAAAAAATTGGTATTCTATTCTGACTGGGTTTTAATTTAGAAGCTGTTATTTCTGTTTAATTTTATGGCATTTAAATTTCATATGTACCTGTGCTTATCATATGTGTGTGTACCTTCTAGGGAAAATCTCATCGTGACCAACAGCTACTGCTTCTCAAGAAGCACCTAGAAAACAATTACAGGAGCAGAGATCGAAAATGGATTGTGTTGTTCCCAGAAGGGGGCTTCCTCAGGAAGAGGCGAGAAACAAGTCAGGCATTTGCCAAGAAAAATAACTTGCCCTTTCTTACACACGTCACCCTGCCAAGGATTGGGGCAACAAAAATTATTTTGAATACGCTTGTAGCACGCCAGGAAAATGGAGCTCCAGCAGGAGGAGATGCTAAAGAACTAGGTATGATGATTTTTAGCATTTTTTCCCTTGTGGGAATGAAAAGATTTTCTGGAGTTCCAGAAGATAACATTGTTGTTATTTTTTATATTCATAGTTTTTGTCAAATAGAAATAGTGCTCAGGGAGAAGGTAAAAATATAAGTAATTTTTTATTTTTATATTTACAGAAGTAATCCATGCTTACACTAATTTATTCACATAATACAGAAGTGTATGAAATAACGGTGTCTTTCCCCTACCCCAGCTACTGGTATACTCCTGGCCATTCCCACTGCTGTAGCAAACATGCCTGTAATTACATCTTTATGTGTTTGTGGAACTATTTCTGTGGTATAAATTCCTAGAAGTGGAATTGCTAGGTTAAAAGATAGAGGTGTAGAAGTGGCTAATAAATCCTAAAAAACTAACCGTAGATATGCCAAGTGGAAATAATGATGTTATTTTTCACTTAGTCAAATTAAGGAAGTGGCTTTGTTTGTTTTTAGTATGGAGAATCAATTCAATGCAGTTGGGTAGTGTTTATTAAAAACCTTAAGAACAATGATGAATGGCTCAGTGGAATAACTACTAATACTTCTCAAAAGAAAGTAATCTAAAAAACAAGTAAAGAAGTTTATGACAGCATTATTTATAATAGCGAAAAATTAGAAATAGATTTAATAGCCAGTAGGGAGAATGGATAAGTAATTATCAAATATCCTCACAACGGAATACAATACAGTCATTATAATGGTGGTCATGGAACATTCTGGCTTAGAAAAATGCTTATGCTGTAAAGTTAACAGGAGCCCTGGTGGTGCAGTGGTTAAGTGCTTGACTACTAACCGAAAGGCTGGCTGTTGGAACCTACCAGCTGCTGTGCAGAAGAAAGACATGGCAGTTTGCTTCCGTAAAGACGACAGTTCTTTAAAAACCCTATGGGGCAGCTCTCGTCTGCCCTGTAGGGTGGCTTTGAGTCTGTATCAGCTTGACAACGAGGGCTTTTATAATATTAATGGAGGGTGGGGGAGCACACAGCTGTGAAAGCAGCTGAGCTCGAATGTGTCAACAGTAAGGCAGTGAGGAGTGAGTGAATATTCACAGAGACTGCTTCTCTGGGACGGTTTTTCCCCATTTCCTAATACTTCTCTGAATTTTTTCCCTTTTTTTTTTTTTTTTTTAATTAATGAGCATGTATTGCTTTTATGGTCAGGACAAAGTAAACCACACGCAAAGAAGCAAGTATTTTGGAGCATAGCCTTGGATGTTTTAGAGAAAATAGTTGCGCCAACAGATTGAAGGCAGTTTTGAACAAGTTTATCTAAGACACTACTGTGATAGTTTGGTGATAAGTTGTAAGTTAAACAGCTGAAAGAAATTCACTACCACATTTCCTTAGTAGCATTTTGCCATTTCTTCTAATATTCTTTAGGGAAAAAAATTGAAGTGTTGCACCCTCAGAAATACGTGTTTTTGAATGACGGTCAGGACCAGACATAGGAATAACGCCTGTGAGACTGCACTGAGCTTGCGTTTCTTTTTCTTCTTTTTCAAGCAGTTGCTTGGCAGTCAGCTCTCTTCATCTTTCATCATCTATTAAAAAGACAAATTGAAAGAGTCTGTTAATAGCAAATGAAAGTTTAGAATAGCTTCACTGCTGGAGAGACACGGTGGCATGTCAGTCAAGCCGAAGCTTGAAGGCACAGGTCTTCCAAACAGGACTAGTTGTACTAACAAAGTCCGCTGTGTTTTACGTAGCTCCCCCAGACAGTGCCCTGTGGGTCTGAATCCCACAGGTGGGGCAGTGGTCGTGCTGATTGTACAAGAGTGAAGAAAATTTATTTTCCCTTTGGAGGGAAGACATTTCTGTTCTGGTCATAAAGCAAAGTAGTTTGTTATTTGTTCTGTTTTAGTTCAACATTTTTATTATAGCTGCTCAGGAAAATCGTAAGAAATTCTAGAAAGTTATAGACCAGGAAACTAGTTTTATCTGAATTTTCTAGTTTCTTCTCTGCAGTTTGCTATTTTGCATTTTATTTTCTTTAGTGTTTATAGTCACTTTTTTTTAGTATTTTATTCTATGTGTTTTAATATGTGATTCATAGACACATACTAAAATTAAGTTGTATCTGATTAACTTTAAAAGAGTTATGTAGTATTTTTTATTATATTATTTAACATATTTTGGACTGAACTCCGGAGATTTTTCCCCGTCGTTTTATTATAAAAAATTTTCAAACATACATAAAAGTTATAAGAATTGTACGGTGAACATCCATGAACTGACCGACTACATTTTATAATTAACATTTTACTGTATTTGCTTTATCACGTCTCTCTCCATCCTTCTGTGGATCCATTAATACATCTTTTCTTTTTTTTTGATGCATCTCAAAATACGTTGCAGAGACATCGGTATACTTAACCCCCAAGTATCTCAGCATGTACACTGATAATTTTTTAAAGTATTTCTGTAAACTCTGTTCCTTTAGCAATATTTTTTGTTGTTTTGTGTGTGTGTGTGTGTGTGTGTGTGTGTGTGTGTGTGTATATAACTTCTTTTATGGTTCCCCCCCGTCAGGAAGTTGTTCTAAAATCTTTAAAAAAAAGAAAAAAATTAAAGCCAGTTTTCAATTATTTGACATACAAAAGTAATCTATCATTGACTCATGCATATTTGGGCCTTTTGCTTAAAAATAAGTTTCTTTTTTAGGAATCTCTTAGGTACGTGAACTGAGGGTAGATAATGGCACCTTGAGGTCTTGCTGTCAGCGCTCGCTGTGAGGTTCCCCTCTTAGGTTTGCTCAGCGTCGGACTCTGGGCTGGAATGAGAACAGGGCACGAGGCTGCCTGTCCGCTCTCCCCAGCTGTAGTTACCTGCTGTACCTTCCAAAGGGTGTGGAGGCTTAATGCTGTATTGTAGGTAGATTTTGTGAAAACTGGGGGAGTTTTTTGTTTTGTTTTAAACAAGAACAGCAACTAAAGATTATGTATGTCAATAAAATGCTTAATTTTGTTGCCTTATTCTAGTGTTTATTTATGTTACCCAAGTATTACAAATCTTGGTCTTTGTATTATGTTATATTTAGTGAGCAGATTTGTTTTGTTTTGAAGGCTTGAAGGCTGTTTTCCACTTTTTCATAGGCCATTGTTCTATATGAGTGATAAAAATACAAACTAGACCTTAACAGTGCATAATTGTATTGTAATTGTATTGACTACTTGAATGATGCATGTCCAGCAAATAATAGTGCTGTTATTTGTTAATTTGTTAGAGATTTGTCCATTCTGTAATGTAATAGGAAATGCTTAATTTCATCCTAAATGCATTATATACAATAGTAGCACCAAAGTCCATCCTGTTTTCTTAAAGCAGAAGGCATATCGATGTTTTGCACTGCTCAAGTAACCTATACCATGTTATTTGTTGTAAATAAAATAAAAATTGACCCAGTTTTAAGTCATTTTTTTCTTTGTTCTTAGACAGCAAATCACAAGGCCTCCAGTGGGTGATAGATACTACCATAGCTTATCCCAAAGCTGAACCGTTAGATATTCAAACCTGGATCCTTGGCTACCGGAAACCAACAGTCACACATGTGCACTACAGGTGGGAGTTCTACACCAGTACTCGGCATGTATCCTATATAAAGTGCCACCTCAGGAAAGTGTGCATATTTTAACGTTTAATTTTTCAGCGGACAGCAGAAAGTAGTTGGCTCAAAAATAATTCTAATGTTGAATTTGTAATATGAAAATTTCATTTAAAGTTGTTACTTTTACTGAGTGATAAAGACCTCTAAAAATGGCATTCTAGAGCCACTATGATTATTTGATTGCTTGACATTCTTGAGTAAAGTAACTTAAAGGACAAACATCAAGGATAAATTTATACTCACTTGGGTTAAGTAGATGCATATTAATGGAAGTAAAATTGTTTTTAAATCATTAAGCCACATAAGATGGTAATTTAGATATAACATACTTTTAAATGTTAATATTTTAATGTGCCTTCTGTCATTTTTGCATAAACAATCACAAAAGCATTTCTTGAATATATACTCTGTGCTAGCTTCTTGAGGTATTTTTATGTAAATTTCTTTTTTTAAAAGGACTTTGTGTAAATGTATGTAGGTATTTCTATCCAAGCATGGTGCTGATGAAACCTAAATAGATTTGGTCTCTTTATAGGCCATTTAACTTTATTCCGTGGTCCGAGCCTCAGCCCATGCCAGATAACTTAACCAATGTGAGGCATTGGTCCCAAGGAAGATCCTAGTTGCTATAAAAGCCCTCAATTGAAGAAGAAAGCTACTCAAATTATGTCCCCATTGATAGAAGAAAAGTAGCGTATTTCCATCCGTGAAAACCATCAGAGTTTTACAAATATGAGAACAGAGTTGGAAGAATTTTAAACTTAAATATTATCGTTTGGGTTTCTGATATGTGAGGGATGACTACAAAATAACAGTTGATTCTAGTGTGTAACTTACATTGCTGAATTATGAAGTTCATATGTAAGATAAGAAAGTTACTCTTGATGACGGTTTTCTAACACTATTCCACATATTTTGTCCATTTTATTTAATTTATTGAGCACTTACTATGTACAAGGCCATGTGCTAGGCTCTGGAAGAATTTCTCTCAGGACAGTTATATTTTCTTATATATGAAGCATATCTAGCCTTCAGTAAGTTTTTAAATTCCTATCTATAAATCAAGCTCAATTCTGATGCCTAAGCTGGGAATACATGACTCTTGGATTTATGTAGATAGATCTGCCTAGCCGATTATAACCAACGAGAACTGAGACAAGGAGGAAAACATTCTATCGTATAGACATTCTGTTAGAATTGACTATGCTTTTCTGTTTTAATCAATCAGTAGAGGAAATTTTATTTTATAGATACTTGGGAAAAAAAGAATAGAATCATAAGATATCTTAAAAATTGAAGACATTTTTCATTTTCATCAAAATTACTTTAAAAGGCACAAGTGCAAGGCTGTTCAGTTCACTTGAGCAGAGTTCTTAACCTGGGTCTCATGGATGGACCTCAGAGAGTATTTGAACTAACTCTCTGTGCAAAATTTTATGTATGTTTGCAGTTTTCTGCAGAGAAAATTCATAGCTTTCACTCTATTCTTATAGGAATCTATGACCTAAAAAAAAGATTAACGACTCCAAACGTAGAGATCAAAACCAAATAGTGGTTAGTAGATAAGGAATGGCTAATTTGATGCAGAAAAATACTTCTATTGAGAAGCTTCTCAAATATGTTTCTTTATAGAAACTCTGTTACCAGACACGGACAGAATAAATAAAATCCCAGTGTGTTAGATTATCAGAGATTAAGTTATGATGTAGAATTATACCCCAAAATATTAATTAAAGTACAATTCATGCCCGATTATTTATAAATGTACACACGTGCATGTGTACATACATCCATACATACCCTAAGGGTCTTGGGACAGGTGAGGAGATATACTTTCCTTTTCTTCTTTTGCTTCCCAGAAATGTAATAGAGATACTTGCCTCACCAACACTAGGAAAGGGGAAGGACCTGCATTAGAGAGGAAAAGCAGGACAAATGAAAGGGGCAAGAGAGAACATAGGTGTCCTGGTATACCTGTCTTACATCAGGATGGTTTTGAGGTTTTGCAAGAAGCTTGTGAGAAGGGACACGGGCCATGTCCTTAGCAGCTCCCAGGAATAAGTGTTTATCAGCCGTAGATTGACTGAGTCCTCATGCATTGTTCTAGACCGTCAGGACACCGTGGGGGATAGGGACAGAAAGATTGGTTTGAGTTCAGACTCTCCAGTTGTTTGGTAGTATTTAAAAATTTTTAAACAAGGATCAGATATTTCCAATTAAATAAGAGGTTTAAGTACAGCGTTAGAAGCCTTATATACACAAATGTTAATAGTATAACTGGGGTTAGGTCCTTTTCTCTTTTAATGTGGGGAAGTTGTTGAGAAAAACTGGCCAGCATTGACTGCTTAAAGTGGGGAGTGGGGTACCCCAAAGGATAGGAAAGGGTGGTCGGGAAACTGAAGTGGGGAGTGGGGTACCCCGAAGGATAGGAGAGGGTGGTCTGGAAACTATGAAGTGGGGAGTGGGGTACCCCGAAGGATAGGAAAGGGTGGTCTGGAAACTGAAGTGGGGAGTGGGGTACCTCGAAGGATAGGAAAGGGTGGTCTGGAAACTATGAAGTGGGGGGTGGGGTACCCCGAAGGATAGGAAAGGGTGGTCTGGAAACTGTGAAGTGGGCAGTGGGGTACCCCGAAGGATAGGCAAGGGTGGTCTGGAAACTGTGAAGTTCACTGACAGGCAATGGCGTTTCGCCTAGTGTCAGCTTACTTCCCTTCGCCTAAACCCAAACCAAACCCACTGCTGCTGAGTTGATTCAGACTCATAGCGACCCTATAGGACAGAGTAGAATTGCCCGGTAGGGTTTCCAAGGCTGTCAATCTTTATGGAAGCAGACTGCCACATCTTTCGGCTAGTAGGTTCGAACTGCCGACCTTTTGGGTGGCAGCCGAACACTAACCACTGTGCCACCAGTGCTGCTTATCATCACCTGTAGGTACATTTTAAAAACCACTCATAGAGTTTTTTTTTTTTTCTGCACTTATCTATAATTTTATGTTTAAGTGCGGGGGGAGAAAAACAAGTTTCTTGCAAAACCTCACAACTATCCTTAAAACTCTCACAAGCTCCTTGTAAAACCACAAAACTATCCTTATTATCTAGAACATTAATATTAAGCCATACGGTACAAGCCAGTTTTGCTTCACATAACAACACAGAGGATTTTTTTTTCTTTCTAACCCTAGCTGACTTTTAGTTCAAGGGATCACTGAGTGATTATAGTACAGCTGGACGAGTTAATGCCACTGCTGGCTTTTCGGTACAGCCTCGGAGAGTCAAGGTGTTCATTACGTTCAGCATTTATCAGACCCCACTTAGAATATTTCACGTGTTTTAATTTCTCCATTTTAAAAGAAATAATAGTGGAAGGTTCCGTTGTTGTTAGCTGCCATTGAGTCAGTTCCAACTCATAACGACCCTGTGTACAACGACCCCATGTACAACGACCCCGTGTACAACGATCCTGTGTACAACGATCCCGTGTACAACGACCCCGTGTACAACGACCCCGTGTACAACGACCCCGTGTACAACGATCCCGTGTACAACGATCCCGTGTACAACGACCCCGTGTACAACGACCCCGTGTACACGACCCCGTGTACACGACCCCGTGTACGACGACCTGTGTACGACGACCCTGTGTACGACGACCCTGTGTACGACAACCCTGTGTATGACGACCTGTGTACAACGACCCTGTGTACACGTAAGGAAACTCTGCCCAGTCCTGCGCCGTCCTCACAGTCTTGCTGTGCTTGAGCCCGTTGTTGCAGCCCCTGTGTCAGTCCATCTCGTCGAGGGTCTTCCTCTTTTTCCCGGACCCTCTACTTTACCAAGCATGATGTCCTTCTCCAGGGACTGGTCCCTCCTGATAACATGTCCAAAGTACGTGAGACAAAGTCTCGCCATCCTCATTTCTAGGCAGCATTCTGGCTGTACTTCTTCCAAGACAGATTTGTTCCTTCTTCTGGCAGAAAGTTACAAAAAGAGCCAATATAGATGTTTTCCTTCAAATCCTTGGTCAGATCAAATCAAAGCAAATTCAGAGGTGGTAGTTATTAATTGAAACTTAGACTTCTAAGAGAAATTGCAGGTTCAGAGTACAAACAGGTTAAGGAGAAGTTTAACAGTTCCTAAGTACTAAATCTGTAATTAGTTTCTGTATGTTTGAGGTACTTGTCTCACATTTGAGGTAAATTTTACAGAGGGCGATGACTGTCCTCTCCTGTGTGGTACCTCTTGGTACCTGCTGAGAGCCGTGGACTCTGCCTCTGGAAGGCTGGGTGTATACCGTATTCCCATGCTGTGACATTCCTTCCCGTCAGAATTCACTTGGGAAACAATACAACTGAAAGTTTATTTAACATTAATCAGTGGTTGGGCCATTTATTATTTCCTTAAATGATATATTTCCTTACAAATTATACTCAAGGCTGGCAAATAAGTTTAGCTCCCTGTTCTGTGTCTCTTTTCATTGGAATATAATGTGACAGATGAATGAGCTCTCTGCGCAAGGACAGTGTTTTCCCTACAGAGGGACTGCCTTTGTCTGTGTTACTAAGTGTTTAAAAAGCATTTCCTCTTTATTTATGTAGGAAAAGGATATCTAGATTGCCAGAATGTGCAGCAGAATGTTCTAGATTCTAATTTTCTGTACTGACTCTTAGGAAAATAGTATAGGAATGCAATAGCTTATTTTAAGAGCTCCAAAATAAACTCTTTTCTTCCAATAGCAGTTTTCTACATTGCTAACTCACATCTTACTTCTTAGGCTTCTGTTGATTTTTGAGGTTGATGGAAGAGATGTAGCCCACATGTGCATATTATTATATGTTGTGAAATACTTTCCTAAAATAGCATGTAAATAAGAACATCTAAATTTGTGGCAGAGTTACATACTAGGTCCTATCTTACAAGTATGTAGTGTTGTCTTTCAAACATTGAACTTTTAAGG